TCAATTGCCCAATAAGTGTGCAGCCACCATGAGGGGCAAACACCTGGTCAACCTGCAATCACGGCTTGACGAGCTTTTCATCCGTCACTCCAGAGGCCATTGCTCGGATCAAGACTGGTTCGTCACACTGAGAACCGCCAAGAAAATCATGCAGGGGCTCTTACTGCTAAGGCTCCCTTTGTTTGGCCGCCTGTTCACAAAGTCACACTGGTTCACATCCAGCGTGCCAAGAACTGGGTTGTTGCACAAATTGAACTGCACACAAAAGAGGTCAAATTCAGCCGTATCAAAGCCTGGAAACAGAAGATGCAGAGGTCCGCCCAAAGGGGCTGCAGTCATGTGTTTCATCATCTTAGGAATAGACTTCATGATGAGCCCCCGAACTTGGTGCAAGACGACTTTGGGAATCTCATCTACCAACCTCACGAGGCTTTGCAGTGTCTCAATGAAAAGTGGGATACCGTTTTTGGGGTCAACGCTTGCCACGATGAGGCCCTTCAAGTGTTGCAAGTTGTTTGGCCTTACATTCATGAACACGTGCATGAAGCCACACTTCCTGACATTGATGAGCGCGCACTGTACCAGGTCGTGCAGAAAAGAAAGAAAAACGCAGCTCCTGGCCTTGACGGCTGGAGGACACAAGAACTGCAGTCCCTCCCCGTCTACGCCTTCCGACCAGTGGCCAGGTTTTTTAACTGGGCTGAGGCGACTTTTGGGGATGACCTCCCAAAAATGTTGACTTGCACTAGCCGCGCCCTGCTGACGCAATGAACAAGCGCCTCATTACGATCCTGCCCGCGCTCCTGTTGTCCTACACTGGTGCACGCTACATGCAGCTACAAGTTTGGCAAGAGCGTACCATGCCAAAAGAGATCGTGGGGGGCATTAAGGGGCGAACCATGCCGCAGCTCCATACGGCCCTGAGGCTTGACATTGATGAAGCTAGAGCTTTTCGTCACGATCTCATAGGAGTCAAGCTTGACAAGGCCAAATGCTTTGACAGGATCATCCCATCGGTCACATGTGCATTATTTTTGGCGTTTGGCCTCCCCAAAGGCTTTGTGAACTTGTTTGCTAAAATCTACAAGGGTCTTCATAGACACATGTGCTATAGGGGCTGGGTCAACCCTCAGGCCACCACAGCCGCCAACGGGGTAGCCCAAGGCTGCTCCCTATCGCTCATAGCTGTGAACCTGCACACCAAGGTCTGGGTGCTCCTGATTCAACACCTGCCTGGTCTTGTCATCAGGGCATACATGGACGACGCTTATTTATGGTGCAGGATCCAGCACCTTGCGGACCTCCAGCAGGCCACGAAGCTGTGGGACCAGCTTAATGGCCAAAAACTCAACGATTCCAAGTCGGTTGTGTGGGGCACCTCCAAGAAGTCGCGAAAACAAATCCAGCAAGCTTTCCCGGGTATGCATCTTGCCTTCTCTTTCGATGCTTTAGGCACCCGCATCTACACCTCTAACAAGGATGAATAAGGTGTGCGCCGTTATCGATTGCATTGGAGCCCTGCCGCTCCCCATGCGCGTTCGCTCCTTTTTGATTGGTGCCAAAGCCATTCCAATGATTACTTATGGGGCTCACATCTCTACTCTTCGCTATTTTAACCTAGAAGCTGAGGATCAAAAAAGATTTTTTACCATCCATGTTAGTGTAACTTTAGGATTTGCATTCTCAGGTGCTATGTTAGTCAAGACTGGTAGGAGCAGGAGCCATTCCACGAGGTCCATGTTAGTGGAACATTGTTGGGAAAGGAAGAACTAGCAGCTTCCATGTTAGTGGAAGGTTAAAGAAATGTATGATTTAATGTTAACATGGAATCTGTGAGGATTGTGGTTGATCTCGGTTCATGCCGGTGGACTTGTTAACAAGAAAGCTGTGCTGCTTGTTTTGGGTCAAAGCTTGCCAGCACCGGGAGAAGGAAAGAGAGAAGGAGAAGAGAGAAAGAAAAGGAGAGAGAGAGAGAGATAAAAAGATCACCCCAACAATCAGGAAGCTCAAGAGCGCTTCTCTGTCTTGCAAACAGCAATCCAAGAATTCGATTAGGTACTGTAGAGAAATCAAGCAATTCGCGTTTGGCCAGGCGTTGGAAAAAACGATGGATTTGCTGGGATGTGCTGGATTTGTTCTTGCCTAGCTTCCATGTTAGCATGTGTTTCATGAAGTTTCTTGTGCACTGGGAGGGAGTTTTGCCCAGCTTCCATGTTAGTGTGCGTTTCTTGCATGAGCGGCATGTGTATGGGCTGGCTGAATTGATTTCTTGCCTTCCATGTTAGTGTGATTCTTGTAGATGGCCACCTTTGCGCACCTTCCATGTTAGTAGTTGGTGGCACCCCTGTCAGATCACTTACACTAACCTGGCAGGCAGAACATAGTGGTTTGAGGTGGTGTTAGTGCACACTTTTGAGTTCTCAGGTTCTACGTTAAAATAGGGAAGTGTAAGATCCCAAAATTAAGTATTCAGCGGATTCAAAGCTCTGTCACTCGTGCTTTATGGAGAGGCAGGCCCATGGCCAGATCCAAATGGTTGGTGCAGGTTTTTCATGGGACCCCCCATCGTACTGATCCTGCCATTGCACAAGCCTATAACAGCATCATGGAAATCAGCAGGTTCATCCATCAAAACCCAGATGACTTTGCGCGCCTGCAGAACCTTTGGGTGCATCGGGATGACTTGAAATTCTCACTTGTTCAAAATCTTGCCACGGCTTGTGAAGAGTTGTGCATTCAGCTTGACTCAAGTCTGCGACTGCGTTTCCACTCCTCCCCACCAGTGCCAATCAATCAGCTTAGTTCCACCGATCTTGCGGTTGGTTTGCGACATATTGCACGGCAGGTGGCATACCAGAATGCGAATATCACAACCAGGAAAGATTTTTTTGCCCCGAAAGGTCTTCTTGACCACCATACCTCCACCAGATTTCTGAGAAAGACAACTTTTCAGACACCGGGGCCCCCATCGGCCCAAGTCCGAGCGGAGTCCACCATTGTTGGGTGCACCCTGACTAAAGACAGGCTCTTCGCTGCCGGCTGGTCTTCTACCAATGTGTGTCGGTTCTGTGGTAATACCAAAGAGTCCCTGGCCCACTTGGTTTATGAATGTAGAGCTTACCACAATGCCGCATCTAAGCCATGCTTGCATGAACTAGGGAGCAACTTCCATCTTCTGGGACACGTTGAACATCCCTTTCGCCTCACGTTGTTTCGCCTCCAACATGCTGTCGCCGATGTCGCATGTGCAATCACATTTGAGCCAGGACCAGTGCCGGATGAGAACTGGACTGATGGATCGGTGCTTTGGCAGGAGTGCTTTTGGCTGACCACAGCCGCCTTCGCCATTATTCACAAGCAAGGGCACCTCATACACAGTGGCAGAGTTATGAGGTGGAGTCTATCCAGCTTTGTCGCTGAACTATGGGCTGTGTGGTATGCGTTCGCAGTCTCCAACAATGCATTGATCATCTACTGTGACAATCAGGCAGTTGTGCGCACATTCCAGCGTTTGGTGCGGACTCGATGTGTTTCCCCATCCTGGAGGTGCCATGATTGGTGGACAGCCATTCTTGACCTCTACGAGGAAAGGTCCCTCCGGTTCCCCTGCAACTTCAGTGGATACCGGCGCATATTTTGGAAAACACTCCGACACACCTGCTGACCACTGCCGCGGCTGCCCAGGCGGGCACGACTGTCGAACACATCATTCACAACCGTGCTGCTGATTTGGAAGCCAAAAAGTGTGCGCATCAGATTGCCCCGGTCGTTCCGAACATGGTGGGAAGTATGTATGCAGCCGCGACGCTTCACCAGGAATGGCTGGTCAAACTTCACTGTCAGCTTGATACGCATTCTGACATTGAAAACGGCCATGTGGCCCCAGACCTTGAAGAGTCAACACCCCTGACGATTCCACAAGCACGCTTGCAATTCCCGTGTTGGGAGTGGGCAGCTGTACGCGGAGCTTTCACGTGGCGACCAAAAGTACCGCGCGAGCTAGATCCGCCCACTCGGTGGCGATACAAGTCTGCGGATTGGAGTAGTGTTTGCAATTTTGCGAGAGGACTTCAATGGAAGCTTTCTGCGAGTTGGGAATCCTTTTCCATCAGAGAGGATTCCGTATTGTTGGGGATTACGACTCCATCACCATACATGCCGTAGTTTGTGTCATTCGACAAGCGTTTCAATACCTTGCAAAAAATGACCATGTACAGCCATTTCCAGGGCGCTTCGACCCTCGCCATGTAAAGTGTGCGGGGAAGGTCTTGTGCCAGAGTGCCATCGTAGATGCAGTGCCGCTGCTATCCGACACCGAACTTTTGGCGGTGGCAGCTACTTTGAATAGTGGACCAGGGCGGACCATTGAGTCCTGGCGGGTTCCTTTTTTGTAAAGCCTGTTGAGTGCTTCTTGCGCAGTGGGTTTTGTATGTTTGGCCCAGAGTGGCCAGCATACCGCCAACGCTTCTCACCGGATCGTGTGGCGCGAGAGGTATATACAGTATATATATATACATTATATATATATATACATTATATATATATACATTCCAAATACATTGCAAAATACTGCCAGAATAGAGGGTATCCTCCTCATTCCTCCTCTTCGCCAGACCTCTCGCTGACGTTCTCTTGGAAGAATCCCAATCTTGAGAAAAAAACAACTATATTCTTGATCCTTCTTGTGTGAATCGTACCCCAGTGCTTGGAGCAACATTGTAGGTGTCGGTGTGCATGTCTGCCCATTTACCTCCAAGAAACCATAAGCCCTATGAATCCTCTGCTTTAAGTGCAGGCCACTGGAGGATCAGCCTCATACAATTCCAAGCGATGTGTCCCACGCTAGCAACGCAAAGAAACCAACTGCACTTGTTGGAGACCACTCCGACGTACTCGGTCGAAGCTCGAAGGAAGCCTCTATTCGTTGTTTACATCAACAATCCAACAGAGCCACCTTTCCAAAGCCAACATTTTGTTGTTTTCCTAGATTCTGAATTCTCCTCGATCATCTCACTTGTGATGCCATGTGGAAGCAAAGAGACAGTGTCCTGAGCGCTGGAGCAAAACTCACTGGTCGAAGAATGCTTCCTCTGCTTGTTCACATGGGCAGGGGCCTTGAGCTAGTGAAAAGAGTTAAAACCCGAGTCAAAGCGGGCACCCAGCGTCACCCACCTGGTATGTCAATGCAAGAAATCTGGTGGGCTTGTACATGCGGTGGCTTCCACTGCACATATTACAATTGAGGCACCAGCACCACGCGCCATTGTTTCAACAAAGGTCTGGGACACGCGTGGGTGAGGTGTCTACTTGAGTGAGTTTGTCAAACAAACAGAAAGGAGTCGGTGTGCTTTGTTGGGCTTGATCAACGTTCGTCAAACTTCATGCGCACCGGCTTCCTTCAACCAGCTTGCCGAACGCCCCTTTTCCATGGTCACTGATTGATTGAATCTGGTCCAAGTCTGAAGCTGCCCAGCGTCAACTTGGCCCAAGATACTCTGAACGGCATTGTCATCCAGACTGACAAACATGACCGTGACAGAAACGGTTGATTGGCGTCACAGGCATCACTCAAAGTTTTAATCCACTTCTAGCCCATGGAAATCTGCGGTGGGCTGTGAGCTGACTACAACAATATTCGTCATAGTTCCACGCGAAATTCGTTAGGTCTCTTTCCATCCAGGCCTGGACAAGCATTTTGTTTTGGGTGGGTCATCTACTATATACTTAATTAATATATATATATACACATATATATACTGTACTTAAAACCACGGGGTCCTCAATGACTCAACTCAGATATTGGATCCCTTCCCAAAGAGGTAACCAGGTAATGCTCATTTGCAGAGTGTTTCATGCAAATTCGTAACCCCATTGATGGATACTGTAATTCAATAGTTCTGCTCACCAAACAAAGGACACCAAAATAGGTTTAATTTGGCAACCTATATACACAGTTTAGCTTAGCTTAGGCTTAGTCATAGTCTTTAAGTCGTTCTCCTTCCAAATGTGCGATCGCGGTTTAAAGGAAGCTGACACATGCCATAGGCATGGGCTTTCCACTTTGTCATGAATCCTCATGACATCAGCATTCCCGTGCCTGGCCTTGTCATATCTGGCCAGTAGACTGGCATTGTCCTGTCAAGGGCGGGTCAAGACCACCCAGCCACAATGTCCAGGGAAATCGTCGATCTACATGATCAACCCAGTTCCTTTTGTATCACCGAAAACAACAATTCGGATCGGCTCCATCAGATATGTCAGTAAATACTGTGGGTTGACATCAGTTAACCGACAGTTAACCCATAACCACCAAGGTCTCTCCTTGAAGCAGGATGTCAGACAAGCCAAGCTTGTTGGTTCTTCAGGTACAAAAAGGGTCTGAGATCAGCCAGATAGCCAGGTACAGGATTTCCAGGGAAAAACATATCTTTATATACATTATATTTTTCCGAGTAAAACCCCATGTTCTGGGATATGGATTGAAAAATACTTAATGCATTCCCGAGGAATAAAATCATTTAACTCAATCCATCGCAGTCAGAGTTCGGTTCAACCCCCACCCCCCCACCTAATTCGAGAACGTTCCAGGTGTGCCATCACCAATTCGCCCAAACACCACGGCCTGGGCATGCTTTCCGAGTGAACCGGTTTCTTAGAAAAGATTTTAATACACAAGTTACAACTCAGGGCTCTTGCTTGCTTGTTTGGGGTTGAGTGACCTGGTCGGGGGACATGTTTAGCCTATATATGCATATAGACTATAGATGTGTGAGTGTGTAGATACCTTCTCTCCGACACACATAAAAGGAGCAAAGGGAAGTTACTGGCCACCCGTGTCAAATTTCCTTGTTGCTTTCAAAGTGCCTCAGGGAGATGTGGCACAAACGGATGTGGGTCCTTAAAGGACAAGAGGCTCCCAAGTATGGTTCACTGTTCCTTTGTTCTGTGGGGGTGTTTGTTTGAGTCGATATTTTAGTGACACTTGTGTATATATATATATGAAATAAGGCGCTGATTGCTGTAGTGGCAAACCTGTTCCTCTCAATACCACAAATCTCCCTCAAACACGTCAGTCAGCTCGCATCGCAATCAACTTCCGAAGTTCTGGCCTGAAAAGCAACTCACCGGAGAAAAGGACCACCTCATCGTTCGAAACAATGGCGCTCAGAAAGGAGATCCCATTCCAATCACATTCTGTATCATTCTCTTAGGTTGGAGGCCATCGCTATTTGTCTTGCGGGTGAGAATTTGGAGTGTTCACAATTGTGACACCCTGTTGAACATGCAGAAGGGGCAATCGGATAGTGGAGTTGTCATCGTCTTACACATGGTTGAACAAGGTGTGTACTAATTATTCATATTATAATCGACGCGCTCTAGATTTCCAGGTCGCTGGTACTGAAGCCAGCCTAATGCATCCTAATGCCGGGTCACTGTAGCAGGAGAAATAGGAGCATTTTTTGGCAGATCAGGCTGAAAATGGCTGCAATTATTTGCGAGACGCGTTCAATGTCAAGAACTATATACCTGAGAAGGGGGGGACGAAAGCCAGCAGCCGCCAGACGAGTGTCTCTTTTTCTGGCGGGCGTCGCGGCACAAAACACATGGTCGGCAGCTTGCGAGTCAGCGGTGCCGCGGATGCGGGGGGGCGTATGTAATGGTGAGTGAGGGAGCAGAGAAGCAAGCCGGGCGGCTTTGGCTTATGGAAGTGGGAAGGCGACATCAGCGTTAGCGAAGGGGAAATACCAATTGCGTTCGAGTGGTGGAGAACCACGCGCGCGCGCAAGAAGACCTTCTCCATAGTGAGCGTCGCCGCGCGCGCGTGGCGTGCGTTTGAAAAGATGCAATTATGTGTTTGTTACATTTGGAGTGTTTGAAGTTTGCAATGCGTACTGCGGCACGTCAACAAAAGCGGCCTTCGTTGATTTGGAAAAGTGAACGGGCACGTCTTTGCCGGGACACGGACGTTTGATCCCGCGGCGCAGAAGATCGCAGAGGGGAGGTCCAGCAGCTTGGGCTAGCAAAGGAGTGAGGATTTGTGCGCCTATCGATGCACATGCCTGGACTTGAATGAGTCATGTTCTGGCTCAATCCAAACCACAGTCTTTTTCCTTTGAAGGGGTTTTTATTAAACGATCCAAACACATTCTTTATTCTTCTCTTTCTCAACTCGGCGCCTTTCTCACTCAGAGGCCTTGACTTTGGCACCTGCGTGTGTAGAACTTTGGGCCGTGGACCCAGGCTGACTGGATTCGGCCAGGGCTGCCAGAAAAAAGGCGACGTCATGAGTCAGTAGTATATAGAATTTGTTTATTATATGTCTATGTATCTATCTATCTCTCTCTCTATCTCTCTATCTCTATCTATCTACCTATCTATGTATGTATGTATCTATCTATCTTTCTTTCTATCTGCACCGGCAAGCCGGAAAGACGTTCTGTGCGTGGGGGCGCCGCGAGAAGCATCCACTCGACCAAGGACATGGTGCAAGTATAGTTTTTGCTAGGGGCAGGAGCCCTATGCGGATATGTAGTCAACCTCGCAAGCATCCCGCCGAAACTCAATCCAAATTCATGGACTTGAACTCGTATCACTTTCGGTTCTCTATGGATTTCGCGAATTACGGGTTGTCCTGGGAACTCGTCCTACATGCGTCCAAATGGCCTCCAAAGCCCTTCATGATGCTAATGATGCACTGTTTGGCGTCCATTGCATCACTCGCATCACCAGACCCCATTTTCACTGCTTTTCCACCCTCAACTCACTTCGTTCGCTCTGAAAGCTCAAGCCTAGCCTATCGGCTGGCTTTCGTAATATTTATAAGTCAATCACCAACGTTTGGCACACAGTGACGGGTATGGACTGTAAATGCAAGTGATTCTGTCATTCGGGCTGTCCTGAGATTTTGGTGTGTGGGATCCTTTGGAAGGACGTATCTAGTAGGCGTGGAATGGCGTCGGAGACTTGGCTGAAACCACCAGGTCCTTCCGAATTCCAGGCCGAAGCCAATCTTCTGTTCACCCTGAGGATCGGGCCACGTTCTCTGACTGGCTGCCCACATAGTCAAGGAACTGCTCCATGTTGTTCAGGTTGTCAATATCCAAAAAGACTTGCCTTGGGCAGTTGAGACATCATCTTCGCAGGGCCCACAAGGTGCAGCTACACAGGTTTTGGTAGAAAAGGAAAGTTGTCACAGTACCACAATTTCTCGTTAAACCCCTGCTACAAGCGTTAAGAAGCCGAGCATACATAAAACGATATAAAACGGGCTTGAAGGCTTGAAGGGTCAAGGGGTGGCTTAAACAGAGCCTGCATTGTTTACCGAAACTCAACTTGGAAACGTCCTAAGGCTTCAAGATTTTTGAGCATGCAAAAGAATGTTTATTCTATATATAATATCCACCTGCGAAAGAGAAGAAAAGACACCGTAGTCCCAAGGGACGACGCAAAGAGAAGCAGAACCCTTCAATTCCTTCAATCTACCATTGAATCAAACATGCTTATTCAAACATGCCTGCCCCAAACATTTCAGTCCCAAAGATCTGTCACCTCTCTCGGATGGGCCAAGCTCAGGGCAATGATCCGCTGAAACCAAGCAGCTGGTTTCGGTACAACGCCGATTTGGCCGAAAACTCATCGAAATAGATCTTCAAAAGCCTCCCATCAAAGTGTGGGTCAAATGGTTTGGCATTGAGCCTGGTGAGTATGCACTCTGGCACAACTACAAAATTTGAGGATTCTCTTGTTCACTGCACATACCTCACGCGGTTGCCCTACACGGATTTTCTAAAGTTCCAACTGATAAACCGCCCAGTCAGTCCGGCCTAGCAAAGGCACCTGTTTCAGCTTTGTGATGACAAAGGTAGAAACTGAAGGGCTTGGAGACGTGTTGCCTGACCAGAAGATGAGTCAAGCAGGCGGCTAGTTGAAGGGTGCGCTTCTCCACGCATGACTAGCGATTGTCCATAAACCTTAAGATAGCAGTATGCGCCCCTGCAAGTTCTTACAAAAAGGCAATATCTGACTTAACAATCCCAAGGATAACCTCCTACCCAAGCCAGCTCTGGAAAGGTTTATGTCTAGCTGAAGTTCGTGGCGGATGCTCGCTGCCTTTGTTTCCAACAGTCACAATTCAAAACTTTCAATGCAAACGTCCATTTCATTGCCACACTGAGAGCTGCCTGGCCTGAAGTGTCGGTAGAGCACTGCGAGGAAGAGTAGCAAGTTCAAAGCAAAGATGCAGACCTGAAGCATTAGTCTGAGGGCAAAATGAACTTGTTGTTTATTGCTGTTCATCCAGACAAGTCAAGGGTTTGTCAATGCCCGTGAAAGGAATGATACATAATAGCTATAATTAGTAGCAAATGCATTTACAGTAGTTCAGGTGTTGAGTGTCACACTTTGGTAAGATCAAATAGCTGTGTGACTTTCAAATTGGCACCATTCATTGGAACAAAGTCACAAGTTCTGCCTGGTCAACAGTAATTCCGTGCGCTTTAGCCGCATCACATGCACCAAAGATTGGTTCAACCTCTCCTTTCCCAGGTCCCATCTACGTAAAGTGTCTGTTCAGTAGAATAAGTCAGTGTGTCCTTCCTCGAGAATTGACCAAAAAAAATAAGTGAGGTGGACAAGCAGCCACTACCGATGAACACAGCACTGAGGTTGCAAAGAGGTTGACCTGGCACACTGATGGAGCGCATTATGGCAGCCAAGTGCTTGACAGTTCAAGATTTTTCACCATCCGGCAGTGAAGCGTTCGTGCAAACCTTTGACAACACATGTTTATACATCATTGGCATCCTCATGCTGTGAAGAGTTCGGTGTGGCTTGGGAAGGGGTCTCTGCCAACCGCACAAAAGCCCGGCCTCTCCTACAGTGATGGCTGCCGCCGACAAGAAGAGGATCAAGCCCTCAGCTTCTGTGATTGGCACTTGCCGTGTCAGGACTTGGCACTGGTGAGAATTTGTTCCAGGACCACTTGCAGAAGAAAAGAGCTCAATACTCAGAGTGTGCTCTTGAGATATTTATTTTTATACAGCGGTAGGCGACAGGTAGGGCGAGAGGTCCAAAGAAGAAAGTGATAACAACAAGTGTATGAGAGTGATCAAAAACATGGTCACAAGTAATATGCCGGTAGCCCCCCCACAGCAAACTAATTGCATTACTTCGTGTGAGACCCACCCTAAAGGCGATTTGGAAGAAGGCAGGGCACATGCATCGATAGAATCGCCAGACTAGTTCGAGAAAGGCGGACATGCAGATTGACACAGTGTTCTGATGCGTGTTCTGGCATCAAGTCTGGCTTGTGCTCTGACACGGCCTGGAAATGTTCTGGACTCTGTTCTGACGTCCTTGTTGGCATGCGTTCTGACATTTTTCCTGTCGTGAAGTCTGACATGTGCTGTGACATGCTGTGACATATGGTCCGACTTCGGTCCTGGGATGAGTCTGACATGTATTTCTTCCAAGAAAGTGTCCATCTGGCAATGATATATATATATATACTGGCATTCTATCTGGAATATTTTCTGGCATTCTATCTGGAATATGCTTTGGCATTCTATCTGCCGCATTCTATCTGGCATTCTCTCTGGCATATACTCTGGCGTTGTGTCTGGCAGAAATATTCTGCATACATTCTGGCATTCTATATGTATATATTCACGTTCTTTCTGTCATAAACTCAGAAATTCTACCTCCCATACGCTGGCATCTATCTGGCATAGTTGCTGGCGTTCTATCTGGCCTTTACACTCGTCTGGCATATAACATACTCTAGCAGTCTATCTGGCATGTACTCTGGGCAAAAAAGTCAACATTCTATTGGCATATATTCTGACATTATCTTTGGCATACATTCTGGCATCGTATCTGACAAAATTGGGTCGTTCCATCTAGCATATTATCTGGCGTTCTGTCTGTCTGTCTGCCATATACTCTCATGTACCTGGCATACATTCCGAAATTGTATCTAAGAAAACCGCTTGCTTTCTATCCAGCATAATCGCATTCTATCTGGCACGCATTCCATTCCGGCATTGTATCTGGCATAACTGCTGGCATTCTATCTGGTATAGTGCTGGCATTCTATCTGGCAAACAACCACACATATATTTTTGCATTCTCTCTGGCATTGTACCGGGCATAGTATCTGGCTGGCGTTCTATCTGGCATATACTCTAAGCACATATTCTGGCATTCTATTTAGCATATGCTCTGGCTTTCTATCTATCTGGATTATACTGGCATTCTACTGTATCTGGCATAAATATTCTGAGGTAATTCTATTTGGAACGTATTCTGACCTGACGGTTTGAATTACGGGCACAGCTCGTGCCCCGAATTGAAAAATATGCAATGTAATCCCAAAACAATAAAATATTTCTCTATAAAATTGCAAACCGAGCTATCTGTTTTGCCACTGCACTTGACTTCCAAACCAATAATTGATAGCCATCGAGCCACTACAAAATCAGGGAGGGTTCCCGAATGCAAATATGGAATCAGCAAAGTGAGGTAAACAGAAGACTATGGGAAGGTTGATCTTTGATTTTATAGTGGCTGCTCGTGAACCACAATATCAAAAAATATTAGAAAATACTTTTAAAAAATAATTGCGAGCTTTTCTCGAACCTCAAAGGCCTGTATGTCGGTTGTTTGTACAAGTCGTTTCAAGGTGCGGAGTCAAGTGGCTTTGTTTACACACTCCTCCTTGCTGGTTTGAGCCTTTAGCTCACATCAGCATCTCACCTTCACCATGGAACTTGATCGCTGTCTAAAAAGGGCATGTGCTTGTCCATGCGGCTGTACATCTCCATCTTCTGTTCATGATCACTTCGCTGGTTCAAGTCGAACCACCTTCGCTCAAACTGCAGCGCATACTGCTTTGCCCTGAGACACGATCTTGCTCCAGGTGTATCATACTGCATCACCTCTAGCATCTCTGCGTCTGTCAACCATCGTGTAGTCGGCATTGACATTGTTGGGTCTTCATATCTCCTCTCTTCACTCGGGTTGACTCTTGATGCCCCCGGTCTCTCTTCTTCATCTTCTTCCATAGGTGTGGGTCCTTCTTCTTCACTTTCTGGCTCCCTCGGTTGTAAATCACGTGCTCGAACTGTGACGACTTCACCTGAGTCCAGACGAACTTGTACTTCATCATCTGGATCATGGTCTTCACCATCACTTTCAGCCTCTATCAAGGTGTTGTCCCTGACGTTCAGATGAAGTCTCGTTTGAACAGCATTGGCTTGGAGATAGCTTTTGATCTGCCCATCCAATCTCCTCATATCAAACTCTCTGTTGGTGTCCTCGATGTAGTTCCAATGCTTCCAATCTTCTTCACCGAACTCACTGTCATCGACATAGCCTGAGGCCTTGATCAGCCCCCTGTGAACTCGTTGCACATAGTTCTTGAGCTTTGCCAATCCTTCTTGAGCTTCATGACCATAAGCTCCAATCATCATGCCATTCACTTTCTCATCATCCGTCACGCTCTGAAGCCTTGCCTCCATTCTCTCAAGCTTCCTCCAGAGCTTATAGATGAAAAGGATCAGCACACCAATCACCATGAACAAGATCACAATGAGCATGCTTGTCCATCCGCTGCTTCCATTTGCTTGTGTAGTCATGTCACCTTCACCTCTCTCTCCAGCCACGTGCTCAAGGCCTTCAAGAAGTAAAATCCGGTTTAGCGGCTTTGCAAGCCTCTGGATCTTGCTTTTGCTTACTGCTCTCTCTTCAAGGTTGTGATGCTCCTCCTGGCCGATTCTCTCACCATCCCCATTGTAGATCTGGCACCAATGCAGAAGGAGATTCACCCTTGCTTTTGGTAGTGGTTTTGTGCCCAAGTCTGCAACATTGGAAACTGTCCCCACTGCTGTGACTTCGAGGTCTCCTTGCGCCACCATGTCCTGGATCCATAGGAGTTTTCCTGCAATGTGCCGCAGTTTGCCCGGACCCTTTCTGTGACATAAGTGGAGCGCTGCGGAGTTGTCAACTAGGCAGTAGTGAGTGACCTCCTCCTCAACTAGGAACTCAAGACACCTCCTCAAGTAAATGCCATCTGCTGCTCCACTGACCAGTGCATTTAACTCGGCCTCCGCTGAGCTCAATGACACTGATTTCTGGCCACGTGAGCTGGCCAAGATGACCGCCCCATTCAGCATGTGAATTGCAGCTGAGGTTGATCTTCGATGTCCTTTGGCCCCTGACCAATCACTGTCAGTAAAGGTCTCCAACAGCCATCTTGTTGTCGTACTCCTTGTTGAATGTCCATGGCCAGGATCTGGATACGGCAGCAAACTGTGTTGTCCAAGTGTCCCCTTCAAATAGCCTACAAGCTTTCCCAACTTCTTCAGGCTTCCGGTGGTTGGTGCTGACATCGCTGACGCAAGCTCTTTGATGGTGAAGGATACGTCAATCCTCTCCTGAGACAAGTAGATGCCACATCCGACCAAAGATCTGTACATGCTCGACAGCTCTGCATTCAGCAACGTTGTGCCATCAAACTCCAGCATCTCCGGTCCACATGGCAGCTTTTGTATCTTCACTCGTCCTAGCTTCTCCTCATATTGTTCCACCATGCTCTCTGCATACTTTCCTGGTAAAATCTTGAGACCTTCATTCACTTGCTCGTAGGTCCTTCGTAGGAAGGTGAAAGTCGTGCCGTTGTCAGACAAGTGTTGCTCTGAGATGTCGAATCTCTTGCGGATGTCCGGGAGGAAGGTGTTCTCCATGTAGTACTTTGCGCTCACATACATCACATCATCTACGTGGATGAGGACCATCATCTGTTCACCTTTCCTTCCCAGACAGGGATTGATGTCTGAGAAACTGAAGCCTCTCTCCTTCAGCCAATCCGTAAAGTAGTCGAACCATGCCTTTGCTCCCAGGCGCTGGCCTGGTAGGTTTCTCTTCACCTCATAGTATCCCCGAGCTGTCTTCACCTGAGTAGGTTCTTCTTGGGGTACCTGAAGAAAGGCATCTTTGACGTCCTTCGAACCCAACCAGTAGGGCTCACCTCCGCTCTTCTCTTCCAGCTTCTTCGTGAGGTAGATGATGGGAAGAAGGCGTAGTGTTTGGCCTCCTGTTGCAGGACTGTGCACATCATCTCTTCTGTCCACAGCATACTCTCGCGCCACCAATCTTGATCTTCTGAGAAACTGCTTAGGTGAGCCTGGAAGATCTGGTCGAGGCTTCACTCTCCAGTCCCTCACGAACCGAGTTGTCAACCTTTTGAATCCAACCTTCTCCTCTTCCATGGCCTCCAGTACTCCCATGCTCAGAAGTCTCTGTTCTTCTACTGCATCGGCCAACTCATCGATCCAGAAGGGTGGATCCGGTGGCACTCTTTCCAAGGAAGCTGAAGACCACAGCTCTGCTGGTATCGCCACCTTTGAGTCTTCTTCTCCGTCCCCTTCTCCACATGCTAAGATCTCCTCCTCTCCGAAGAACTGGTCCATGTGGTAGTAGGTATCCTGTCCAACTGCTGTTGCCTCTACTCTTCTCTCAACTTGCGGACCTCCTCCAGACGTCTTCAACCTCTTTGGCTCAGATAACTCCCCTTCACTCTCATGGATTGGTTTTGTTGGAGTCAACTTTAACCTCTTGGGATCTCCTGCACTTCCTTCCGCTTCCAAGTTCATCTTCTGTGCCAAACTCCTGGGAGTAGTTGCAGGAGCAGAAGGACCGGCTTGGTTATTCTCCTCATCAATGCTGTTGGCATCTCGTGTCCTGATTTCTGGGACACTGACTTTCTCCTCTGCATAATCTTGCTTCTTTTCTTCTGCCAACTTTTGCTCCTCTGTCTGCCCTTCTTTCTCACTGAGCTGCTTATTCTCGACCTCCACCAAGTCCTTCACCTCCTCCAGCTTTCCAGCATAGGACTTGGAGAAAGCTATGATCTCAC